TTTCGATTTTCTTTGTGTCCAACATGATTGGTCACTACATGAACTAATATCTAGATAGCTTCACGGAACTCAGCATTGGTGGCCTCTACTTCGAGTTGCACTTCTGGTGCATTAGGCGCAAGTACGAATTAAGAGAAACTTTTTAGAGATAAACTCAATCGCACAAAATAAGTATGAAATAAGTGAGATAGTTCCTATGTATTTCAACCTCCTAATTATTGATGGGAACGATTCACACCATAACTACGACTCTACTAACATGACTCCCTAGGTGAGCTCTATTGTTTATGTTTGATCGTTTAACTCACAGAAAAGGAATATTCTTGATCTGCGAACAGAACCGGAGTGGCTGTCATCCAAGAATTTCCCCCTCGTTCATCACCATTGAAAGAGCTTTCTCCCTCCTATCAAAACTTCTTCCACCTCTTGGACTTCGGAGAAGTTATCACGGATGAGCCACATATAGGGAAACTTGCATCTGTGATTCTGGACGGTCTTTCCTAAGGTATCTAATAATCTTGCTTCTTCTCGCCGCAAGTGCACCTCTCCTAACAGAAATGTAGGAGCTAATCTTCAAGGATATCCGGCATATGGAAAGTCGTGCTCATTAGACTATGGTGGTGGCAGGGGGTTTAATAATTATTCTATATTGCTGCACTTTTTCCAACCATCTAGACATGTTCGGCAAGCTCTCTTACCGACGTTCATTCTGGTGCAAACTGAAGACCAGTTGCATCCATTTTTCTAGATACTTTATCACTTAAATTATCAATCACATTTTCCCCTTCATCTAGGGCTATGAATTGCACATTATTTTAAAAATAATTGTTGTATGGAGAAAGTTCCATAGTCAAATGGTTAATAAATAGAAGGGAGAATGTTGTGGCTAACAAAGAGGAGCTCTACCAGTCTCTCATTTTTTCATCCATCAAAGACCATAATATTGTTATTTTTGTGTGTTAGAAGACCACAATATTCTTATTTTAGGGTAAATGTTCTCAAGTATTAATTTATGATGCAATATCATTTTCCTCTGTGCTGGAATGGAGGAAAAGTAATAAAACCTGCGATAGCTACTAAGAAGTAGCTTTTAATCGAGATAGGTGGAAGAAGCATTGCAAAAACTATGGGAATTAGGAAATAATTCTATCTATTGCCTAGTGTATAAGATAAAATTAAGGAATAGGTGAGATGCTTACGAAAAAAAGAAAGTGTGTTTCAGATAGCTATGGAATTATTGCTAGCAGAGTGAAATGTTATTCCCTCCCTAACCCTAAGGTAACCGCTACACAACTCATTTCCTGGGCAAGCGGGGGAATAAAATCAACCCAAAATGGGCTTTCATATCTTTCTCATCATCTTAAACCAGTGATAAGTCTTACGCCTTGGGTACTTTACATAATCTGAAATGAGGGAAAACTCCTAATGCGAAGGTAGACTCCGTCCTTCTTATTTAAGTAGTTAACATTTCCCATTGGTAAGAATTCCTTCGGAGGAGAGGTGATTTGTGCATCGATGAGATACCAAGTTTGTCACGCTCGGAGCATGACTCTTAGCGCAAGACTTAAATAACAAGAAAATGGTTTCAAAAGATGAAATCATGCAGCACACTTCGAATGTCTTACAAGAAACATGCAACTAGCTTATATGACAACTCAAGTCTCAAACATTAAAAGTGAAATGGAAAGACTTAAGGACTAACATCAACTAAATGTATGTGAAGTCTCTACACCTAATATGGACGTTGTGATAAGACCTATTGCATCCTAATGAACTAAATTGATAAAGCAATAAAAATGGATCCTCCAATAGCAAGGAGGTCACCAGGAACTTTGAACCTAAACTGGATCAACGATGTACTGGATGTTGATCCTGGTTACCTAAATCTGCATCATAAAAAATGCAAGCCAACTGACATAAGTAAATTGAATGTACGAGCATGCGAGGGGAATTCTACTACAACACATAAGCTCCAAAAGAACTGAAAGAACATACCTAGTCTTAACTTAGCTCAATTCAATATAAAATAATAATATAAATGCAATATAAAGAAAAGCTTTCAATACATGGTAAAAACTTTGTGTATTCAAAAATACAATGGTAACTCAGTTTGAATTCAAGGGTACAATTGAAAAAAAAATTCTATGTGGAAATACAAGTTATGTCAGTGTATGTAAGAATATAAAATATAACAAGCTATGTGATGATACATCGTTTTGCCTTACGCTTCCAAAGTTGTCTTATACCTTGTTGAGGGTATAGAACCTAACTACTAAGTGGATCCACTAGTCTATGCTAAAAATCACTAACGAATCATCTACAAAGTATGACCCTTTTCTACCAATGATGGCTACATGATACATGGGGATTGTGAGTTTTTTAAATTCTCCCATATATCGGTGTTCAATAATAATCCCAAATATAACTATATCATATGTTTAAAAACATAACTCTTTCTGTGATTTGAAATAATCACTCAAAAACTATACCAAAGGATCTCTAGGAAATCATTGTGTCCTCTCTTGCTTAAATGTGAAAATATTTACTCTTTAGTGAAAACTAGCTCAAAGGCTTTTTCGGAAATAGGTGTGTCCATTCTTTTTTAAATGTGAAAACGTTTACTCTTTGGGGATACATAGTCCCCATATACTATTTTGAAGAAATAAACTTCACACTTTACTCTCTGCTCAACTCAAGTCTTAAAACATGTTTAAAAGCATTTGTAGAACACTTTTAAAAGAACTCTAAGAACTCTCTAGACTTGTCTCTTAACTTTCCTTGAATTTGAAATTTATGGATCTAAGGTTGTTATTTGTGGTAGGAAAGATATCATGATGTTTAGGAGTGTTTATAGATTGTTAAACGTGAGAAACAATCAAGAAATAATTGTATGGAATCAAGTTCGTGAAGCGAGATGCATTTTATTATTTGGTCGCGAAATAAACTTTAAGGCAGAAGGGTCCGGGACCTCTCCACTGAGCAGAGGTAAAAGTTCCAATCCTGAGGAATAGAGTTTCGAACCTATTACCTAGATTTTTCTAACTTTTTCTTTCTTCATTTTCTAACCCCAATTTGCCTAAGTTTGATTTGTTTTCTCAATTCCTCTTTTGATTCAGATACACAGAACATTAACTGAAGAACCTACTCATATACAACTCTAGTTAGGACATGATTTCATTAAGATTTTGAACAATCTTATGGAAACTCAAGAACAAAAGACAATTTCAAGAACATAATTCAAAAACATCATACTTTAACTTCTTAGAATGAATTTCACTGAAACAAACATGATTGGCGCGTGGGTGAACGAACTCAATGATATGAAATCATCACGCACCTCATTAGAGATCAAATATTTGGCGAAACGACTTAGATTTCACAAGAAATCTCCAAAAACGCCTTGACACTTCTCCTTTTTTCTCTTGTCTCGAATCCTAGCATATTATTCAATTGTGTAAATGAAACCAACTAAATTTAGACCACAAATAACTTACTAAAAATGAAATAAATGGTTGGGTAATGAAAAGACCAAAATACCCCTCTAAAATCTGGTTGATTTTCTTTATAGGGATAGTCCAACTTCAAACGGGCATATCTTTTTCATACGAATTTAAAAATTAGCAAACTTGGTGGCACTGAAAAGATAATTCAAAGACCTTTAATTAAATATCTTGTTGTATACCTAAAGCATATTGTACTAGGAGTCATGGTTATTTTTATTTGACACAAAACTCATACTTCACATACATTTTAAATTTCAGATTTTCATAATTTTGAAAAAATGGTTTCTTTCTAATTTTAGACCTTTTAAACAGCGGGGTGTAAAAAAACCCACGACCCCGAAGACAAAAAATAATTGTTTGCCTGAATGTGATGCCCAGCCTGCAATTTTGAAGACCAATTTTAGTGGGATTTGCAAAAGCAATTCACAGATCACGGTTACAAAGGTGAACCAGCAAATGCTACACCAACCTAAATTTGAAGTTGGCCAAATGCCTTAATGGGGCCTTTAGATTCATTTGAACCCCATACAAACAAACAAACTATGCTAACACACATAATTTGACACTTCAGAAAAAACAAAGGTTTCAGAAAATACCATGTAGGTCATCTCAACAAAGGTGGCTCCCACACCAAAAATTCTATTTTAACCAAATAGTAAGGTGCTTGAAATGAGTCTAAAAGCCTTGACACCTGAATAAAAGGTCCCTAAAGACGAAACATGATGTCTCATAGCTAAAGAAAACATCAAAATTACAGTCAAAGGTCAATTACCTGAAGTTTTGACCAAAGTTAACCATTCAAACTTTAAAAGCTCCAAAATTTAAAAAAAAAACAAAATAAAAAGCAAACAACTGACTAGGTGACAAAACTCTTAAATAATATATAACTTTTATTTATCGTAGAAAAGCTCTTAACACTTAAAATACATTCATACAAGTAAATGTCATAGAGGGTCATTAAAAAAAATTTACCACAAACAACTAATAAGAGCCAATAGTCAAAAAATACTAAAGAGGGAGAATTGCAATTTTTTTTTTATTTCTTTAGGATTTCAAGTATTAAAAAAAACATTAAATAGTGTATACCAAGTTCTCAACTTATTGAATAACCTTCTATGGTCCTTAATTACTATTATTTTCATCTAAATTTGTCAAACTATTACTTATATATTTATGTTTACAATTCCTATAGTGTGTGCCTCGGTAAAAGGACGATTTCAACATTGCAATTCAAAAAATCTAACCTAAAACTAATAATTTATTTTTATCAAAGAAATGAATTATTAAAAAATATTATTTTGCATTAAAACATTTTGAAAATTGATTATAAAATTATATATCAAGTTTGTTTATATTTTAAGAGTTAATTGAAATTTCACTTTACGCCTTCAAGTATTATATATATATATATATATATATATATATATTCAAAAGATGAATTCATCCATATAATTTAAGAACGAATTGGGACATAAGGCATCAAGTAAAATAACTAGATTATTCGAGATCATAGGCAATAACAGCTGAAACATCAGAGAACTCTTGCACCGTCTTGCTGAGTTGTTTGAGTTGGGGTGGTACATCTCTGAAACCTTGGTTACAAGCAAGAGATTCATACATAGCAGCAGAATCCAAATAACTTATTTCTCTATAATTAGCAATCCTAAACAAATCATTGCAACTTTCAAGATTATCACTTGCATATTTGTAGTTTTTTAAACAACCAATTAGTTGGTCTTTCATGTTGGGATCTTTTATGGGTTTTTGCAGAATGGATTGAACCAAGTTATAGGTAGATGTGGTATTATCTTGTGCTATAGAAAGAACAATGGAGAGAAGGCTGTGAATATCTCCTTTATAAACATAGGGATCATTTCGAAGCACTTGAAAACATAGAGGAGGATTTATGGTTTTGGGACAAACGTCATCAAGTATGTCTGCATTAACATTTGGGATATTTCCAAATAGTGTTACTAATACAAAGGAGAGAAATAACAATGAAGAGGACCAAAACTTTGCCATTTTTCTACTTTTTCATTTCGCTACACTCTCCACCATGCTTTTATAGCTTTAAAAGGCATCAAATATGAGATTAATGCAATTCTTCATTTTTGTTTTCTTTTGTAACTGTAAAACAGAAAAGTCAAATATGAGATTTAATGCAATTTGATTAAAATAAAAGAGAAGTTAAATAAAAGAGACTATTGCAATTCATTAGGATGTACCAAATATGAGATTAATGCAAGTATTTAAATGTACTTTACATTAATTTAAATATTTGCATAATTAGTATATGTTTTTTGTGATATCATTGTAATCATTTAAAATTTACTAAAAATAAAATTATAAAAAATCATATTACATTAAATTCAATATATATCAGTCCAAATAAATATTGTAATTGAATATAATTAGATTAATTAGTTAAGTCTAAAAATATTGATTTAATTGAGTTTCAATTTCATTGAGTTACTCCATTAACAAATGAAGATTCCACTTAGTTAAAGTCAAATATATCATATCACTTAAATGTGATGGGGTAAATGGAAACAAACTATTTCATCATAATTTGTTCATTCTACTACTATAAATAGGGGTCCTCATAACTCATAAATCACACTAGAATTTTAACTAGAAGCCAAAGAGAGCTCCTAGATCAAAAACTACAAATTTCCCTACAAGCTACAAGATGAAGAATACAAATACCCAAGCACTCAAGTTAAAGAACAACTAAAGATCAAGAAGACCGTATCCAAGAAAAAGTTCAAAAGCCCTTGGAAGTGGAAGTCAAGTTTATGTTCAATTTCAAGCTCATCAAAATTCAAAATTAAACTTAGAAGACATTAAATTTAGATTTATAAAACAAAAAATTTAAGTACTCACAAAGATTCTAATGATCATATTTGAAAACAAATAAATATCTTGTTTTAATATTTTCTAGTCTTAATATAAAAAATTTCGACATAAATTTTAACATATATAAATTCTAGCACATCTATGCCTCTCATATCACCTTTTCAAGAATTAAAGTGTGTGAAAATGGCTTTGAAGAAGATCAACACCCTGCAAACATCCTCTAAGGTCTCTAAGATTGCTGACTCTAAGTTATATGTTATGTAAAAGAAAATTTTAGTGTTACCTATGAAATGTTGAGTTGTTTACAAGGAGCCAGAACATTACGATGGGACATCAAACACTTCAAGTGTCATCCACATAAATTTCTTGTTTAGGATCATAACACTAAAAGGAAAAGGTTTTGTACATAAGTTTTATAAGGAAGGAGTGTTCCCCCAAAATAACAAAAAGACTCTAGCTCTAGTTAAGTTTTCAAGTTCAAAGAAATCTATTGGAATGAAGAACCAATTCAAATAATGAATCCTCTACACATGCATCACCTGATATGTGCCCTTTGAAGATCGACTTTCCTAATATTCCATGCTACTCTATGATGTCCCTAATGGGCATGCAATTAGTAGTAGTTGATGCTTCATACATAGAGGAATCGTTTGCAAACATGTCAAAGACAGTTGGAGGATTGACTAAGTATATAGAAAACCAAGAATAAGTTAATAGACATGATGAATGGATAATTAGATGGAGAATCCAATGATGCGCCCTGAAAGGGTATTGAAGTTAAAAATATTGAAAATCATGTAAAGCAATGCCTATCATGGAGATTCTATTTTTCTCCAAAGGGATGATCTCACTCAATTATTTGAAGGATTTCATCAAAGGGACCATCAAAGATAAGGCAAAAGCTTCTACTAAGTCTTCCCTTATGTATGCCTAATCGTACATTGCAAGGATTGATAAATTAAAAATGTTTGCTGCTTATCAACCTCCCAAATTTTAATGACCATGTTAAAAGTTGGTTTTCTTAATCTCTTTCCCCACAAAGGGCCAAACGCCCCCCCCCCTTCCCTCCCTCCCTCCAAAATTTCTGAAATGAAGACTCGAACAATTCTTCATTTATGAATAAAATCATACCAGGTAATTCTTAAATTTTTCTATAGGTGTATAATTAAATAATTTGCAGTGGTAATGAATTTGAATATGAATTAAGATCACTAGAACTCCTAGGACAAAGTTGAGTTGAAAGCTTCCTTCCTGACTAAGTTTTATTTTACTTGTGTCAACTTTAAACGGCCATATCTCTTGTAATATATAGATTTATGTGTCCCATATCCTACAAAATCAATGTTATGTGAATCTACTTTTCCACGCCACTAATTTCGCGTCAATCTAAGTTTTGAGTAAAAAGGTATGACCATTTTAGTAAGTTGATACAGTGCAGTGATGAATTAGCCGATGAATAAACATTAAAAAGGGTCATTTTTATATTTTTACCTATAATGATTGAAAATAATCAGATTTTCATCTCCTTATTCAATATTTTCGTCTTTCTAAAATCCTAAGGAAAAATAAAAGTAGAAGAACTCATTCAAGATTGTCAATCTTCTTCAAGATTCTTCTTTATGGTAAGTCTTTCTCCAAGAATTTCATTGTTTACAACTCAAACTTCTCCATACAATTATAAATCACTTATGAAAATCATAATTTCTTGGCCATAGAGTTTCAACAAACTAATTCGACAAATCTCAAGAAAGGTTCTCTTAATTTTTCTCCTTTAAGTTGGGGTTTCAAGGATCCTAATCAAGTTCTTCTTCAAGATTATTCAATAACAGTATTCTTCCAGGTATGTAAGTCTATCATAGAGATATTCTCATACACTTCAAAGAGATTCACATGTATGCTCTATTTCTAGAATGAGGGGCAATCACTTTAGCCCGTTATCACAGCCCAGGGTTACCCCTTAGATGTAACACAATGTACATGACCCCGAGGGTTTCTCATACAGCCCTTAGCATAATCACAAACATAAGTAATAGAAATGATACAAAACTAAAAATTTTAAATAATGAAGTCTTTCATAAAATGAACAAAGTCTACATATTGTCTCCATAAGCCATATAATACAATCGAGAATTCATTAAGGACATGTCCCTTTACAATAAAGTCTCAAAGTAGAACATACAAAAGGAAACTAGAAATAATAACTCTTGTCCTCGAACCATGAGGACTCACCAAGGAAAGTAGAGAATCAAACCAAGCCTTAAACAAAAGGGAAGCAACTTCAACAATGCAAACCTACACTTTGTGGAAAGAGGTAGAAAATATGGATTAGCACAAAAAATGTACCAAGTATGGAAGTCATGCATAAAAATCCTTAAAACATGCAAAAGGGACAATTTAGTTAAAAACATGCACTTTATCATTCTTAAGAATCATCATGCACAATATTTAATACACAAGTCAAACCAACCCATAAGCACCCCTAAGCCATACTTGTTAAATGCATAGACAAGATATTACAATCCTATCACAAGCTAAGTAACACTTTTAGGCCACTATCATCATAGCTTTCATAACTTGTCCTCATCCTTAAACAATATTCATAGGCAAGGACACATTTATGTTCATTAACTTGAAACAAGTAAAGTCACTCTTAACAACAATACATAACAAACATACATAATTCATAAGTCCTCATAACATCAAACATCCTCACCACAACCACTCTTGAATCCTACTTGTGCAATGCATCAATGAATCCCCATATCCCTACTCATACTAAGTAGTATTTGTTAAGACGTCATAGTTATTGATCATGTTTAATTCTTCTCATGATTCGTATTCTTATTATATAGAGAAATTTAGTATTAACCGACATAGACCATGTAAGTTACATTGAATTCGGTGTCTTATCCCCACGCTAGAAAGAGGTTTCTTACTTGCCTAACGTAGAACTCATATATTTTCATAGGTGAATACACTATCTAAAAAACTATGTGGGTCACATAGTTATGGATAAGGAGATTTCAAGTAGAAACTAGTACTTTCTAACGTAAAATGTTTCCATCTCATGAGATAACTTACTTTGGGAAACGGAACTTTCTAATGTAAAAGTTTCCATCTCATACTCATATCCACTTGGTGCTAAGCATAATTTCCTTTAAAATTCTTATTAAGTCTTTACTTAAGTTCATGTTCATGAAAGAATGCACTATACACTCAAACCAACATGATATCATAATAACTCATAGATTCATTAGGTGAGAATGTCCTTTCAACCTTATTATCATGAATATGTGATTAAACCTTTCACATCATATTGATAGTGTGTTCATCAGAATAGTCTTTCAATCAACACAATCATACTATAATAATCATAGGTATTTCATACATAGTCATGCGTAATGGTATGGTTAGAATGATGTTGCAACAATACCATAATTACACCATAGTTATAGAATTCTCTACTTTCTAAGTGGATCATAAGCTCATACACAATTTTTATCAACATGTACAAGCCCTCAAAATTTGCCTAGCAAGTCTATGAATCAATTCAACCCAAACATATAGAATTTCTATATTTTATAGGGGAATGTAATGATTACATAACTCAATTAAATTAAAATAATCAATTGACATGCTTCTATAATCAATCAACCCACATCATGAATTCACAATATAGCAATATGGGGAATTTGTGGGGGTTCATGGGGAAATTTTATCATAAATAAACATTATAAACTCAACCGTAATCCGCCATAATCAACAATAATCCACCATAAATAAACAATTGAAAACATTTTGAAATAGAACCCATGACTTAGATTGAAGACCTAGGTGTTTGGCAAAATTAGAAGCTTTGAAATAAATTTTATGGGTCAAATCTACCCATATATGAAAATCTACCATACCTTGATTAAGAATCTACAATAAATTTGAGGAATAAGACTTGAATTTGACATACCCTATCTCCAAGTCTACTTTTCTACTGCTTTGAGTTTTAGAGAGGAAATTTTGAGAGGAAGAGAATTTTTGGTTTGATTTGGGTGTTTGAATATAATGACTTAATTTGGGTGAATTTAGACTACAAAAAACTTATATATTACCCCTAAAAATACCCTAAAGGACCTCACTTTAATAGGATGAAAATAGGAAATGATTTAACTAAC